TCCTCTGAATGAAAAATCTTTTCCTCAAATCCCCCTTAAGCCATACCTTAAAACAATGTTCTCTGGTTACTGACATCTCTCCAAAGGGGAAAGGTTTTTCCCTATCTATGCCCTCTTCTCCCTATTTATGCCCCTCAGAATGTTGTGCATTTCAGTCAGATTCCCCGTCAGCCTTCTGACTGCTAGGAATTAGCTGGCAGTTTCTCCACATGACAGGGGCCCCACTCATTGCTGGTCAAACACCAGTGGCTCTGGAATGTGGCCCTTAATTGGTCCCTTGGCCACCTTTTTCGTTAAGGGCAGGATGGCATGGCAATGAAGAAAATGGCAGGGACGCCATTGCCTGCACTCCCCAGAGTGACCAAGAATCTTACACACTTACTGCCTGCCATTGACATGTTGGAAGAATTGGCAAGCTGACACTTAGCAAGTTTGACCACATTAGGAACACTCCTGCCTGGTTATCAAGTGCCTGAGTGGAACTCTTATCAAGTATTTCTGGCTCACCAACATGGATACTACCAACTGGATCACAGGACCTCGCCAATGCTGTCAGTACCCCATTTAAAATAAACAGATTACCGCTGATGTTAAGCAAAATCTATGCTGCAAAACCTTTACAGAGTTGTGATGGAAATGATATAATTTTCCACTGGCAAGAATGTTAAATTGCACATTTAAACATGTGTCACTGTGAGCAAGACGTTACACGTGCTTATATTTATAATATATACCATTTACTAAGGAAACGTGCAACTGTTTGAACTGTAGTTGCTTGCTGGGTTACTGGCTTGTTCATAGAATATTGAATAGAATGACTTTGTGTCTAATGACCTAGTGATTATACTGCAGCTGCTCTTTATCTGAAACTCTTCATTAAGTGTGTGTCAGGACCCTCAGCTGTAGCTGTGATAGTTGTCCGAATCATGCCCAATTACAAATCCATTCAACCATAAACTCTGAAGAACATTCATCCCACACCCAACTCCCCTGCCCTATCCCTGAAACCCTACATTTCCCATGGCTAATCTACCTAGCTTGCACATCTTTTGACTGTGGGAAGTTACCGGGAGCACCTGGCAGAAACCCACGCAGACACGGGGAGAATGTACAAACTCCACACAGACAGTCACCCAAGGCTGGAATCAAACCCGGGTCCCTGGCGTTGTGAGGCAGCAGTGCTAACTACTGAGCCACCATGCCAGTGTGACTTGAAATTCTGGCATTAAATTAGCAATGTCTGAAGGCTTATGACTTAAATTAAGTATTTGGCATTGGATATTGGGTTTTGTATTGTAAGATAAAAGTACAGAACTAGATAGCATCTGTAAGAGGATAATTGTGAGCCAGAGGGACAGAGTAGAATCCCTGGATGCTAGTTACCTCTAGCCACCTTGAAGTGTTTTTTTTTAAAGCTTTTCTTTATACATTGTTTACTTGACTGAAATTGGGAAGATATGTAGTGCTGTTGCCTACAGCGCTATTGCCATTAATCTGTCGCTAAATACATGCCCTTCATAGTCAGGTGAAAGAGCTGAGTTGCCATGTAATAAAGAAACTTAATTAACTGTTTACTGCGCCAAACATATCTGTCTGAAGTTTAACATTCTGTCAACCAACTATTGAGAAGGTTTCTACTGTATAATCCCGTTCATCATAAAATTATTTTAGTTGCAAGTATTGAGTTAGGGAAAAATAAGGGAGGCTCAGTTGGATAGTGTCCAAAGTACCAATTTGATTTTGTGATGTGATTTAACTTAAGTCTGCTAAATGTGCTTTAGACATTGTCAGCTCCTTGCTCAATAAAATGATTTCAGCATGTAACAAATACTAAATGAAATAGCAAGAACTGCAGATGCTGGAGTCAGAGTTGATACAGTGCGGAGCAGGAGGAACACAGCAGGTCAGGCAGCATCAGAGGAATGGGAGGGTCGATGTTTCGGGGTCTAGGCCCGAAACATCGACTTTCCTGCTCCTCTGATGCTGCCTGACCTGTTGTGTTCCTCCTGCTCCGCACTGTATCAACAAACACTGAATGCATTATTAATTGGCTGCACCCATCCGCAGGGGGCCCAGAGTCATTTTGGCATTTGCTGACAACACTTAAAGTTAGCTTGCATCTTTTAATGGGAAGCTGCATTGTGGCTAGAGCCAGGTGTTGACAGGAATTGTAGCTGACTTGGAAAAGAGTGAAGGATGGCACAACATTGGGGAGAGTGAGCTTCAATTCTGCACTAGAGGTTTCGGTGAAGGAGGTGAAAAGAAGGAGAGCTGTTTTCTAAGTGCATGGGGCTAGCTGAAAACACAGTGGGAGAAGATTACTGTGGTCAGACCCTGATGCCAAACCCAGAGGATCTGGTAGAGTACCACAAGGGATGCAATGATCTCAAATGTGTGGTCACAGTCACTGAAATGATTTTCAAATATCATATCCTTCCAAATGCACAACTAGCCTCAAACACCACTGAATCACTACACCCTGCCACTGCAACACTTTTTCTATTAACCAAGACACAGAATGACATTTATAGTCTTTATTGCACATTCACTGATTTAGCATTACTGTATAGTTCACACACACATCTCACAGCTTGCATATATTGCCAACTATTCAACCATGTCACCCGAATAGATTGCACAGCACTCGCACACTTCCCACATTCTTGAAGACAAGATGGTGTATAGTCAATAGCAGCAGAAACTAATTGGAGGGCCAGGCATTCCTGCACATTTAGAATTAGAATTAGATTTTGTTGTCACATGTATTCACATACATGAGTACAGTGAAAAGTGCTTCATCTTGGGTACAAAGGTACCTAAGGTACCAAAAGTACAAATTCCTTGCTTCATCTTAGGTACAAAGGTACCAAGGTACAAAATCTTAGGTACGAGGTAGAAAAATAAAGAAACAAAGTTTAAAAGTTAAACATCACAGTCATTTTTAGTATTAAGTAGAGGGGATAGTGCTGGTATCGTTGGGCAGATGTGCCAATATGTAAAATGTGGAGGTCAGATTAGATGTGGAATCTATCAATGGTGAGAAATGGCATGAGTGCTGCTAGAGAAGGGCCAAAAATAATGGAGATTTCAGGCTGTTGGAGGCTGAAGTCGCATATGGACTCCACTCAGGGGATTTAGATGAGGCCTTTGATGGGGTAGTCTACAGAAAAAGTATTGCCAGGTAGGCACAACAGCATGCTTGGTGTGTTAGGAAACCTTCAAAGGGAAGACATGCAATTATTATCCATGGAGGAGTGCAACACCAACTCAGTACAGAGATTTCTAGAGCTTTGGAATTGCATCCTTTCCAGCATGATAATGGTGACCAGCTCCATGTAAGCACATTTGGACCCAACTATGATGCAGCATCTAATGGCCTTTGTTGCAGTTTCTGTTACAGCACAAGTAACAACCATCCAATGTTGCACTGGATACTCAAGTCAGCTTCCATCATTACTGTGGTTTACATTGTGCAAAATGGACTTTCAGGATCCATTCACCAATCTGTGCTTCACTATTTTATAATCCAGGCATTGGTTCCATTTAGCACAGGTCTGCTGTCCTCTCGAGGAGGAAAAATTTGTTTTCCCACACTTGATACTCTGCCATTGCCTTGTTGTTCCCTGGCAACCAGGCCAGACTTGCTGTCATGCTCCAATGAGGCTGCAATGTGGCTGTAACAAGTGGCAGATCTTACTGAGGACTTCCTTTCACTCTTGATTCAGGTAGATAAATTACTCCGTCAACAACCTTAGCAAAATGGTTTCATTCTGACAGCTCTTCTCCCCACTCCCTTTTCCAACAACTTATCCTGATCTGTGCAACTTCAGTTCATTTTCCCAGCCATGCTGTATTCTAACGAGAACACCGTGGCTAAAAAGAACAGATTTGACAGAAGCCTTGAAATCAGCAAAGAAAAAATCCTTTACCACCTGCTACTCCACTGCCTCTAGAATTTTGCAAGTTGAAAAATCTCTATAGAAAACCAAAAACTTGTAGAATGATAGCAACAGTCAAAAAATATGAACCGATAACTAGAAGGCCTGATGGGAGATCCTGCTACTGAATGTATGTTCACTTCTGTAAGGCCCCAAGAGAATGATAAATGGAATGTTCAGCTCACAAATGTCTTGCTGGTGTCAATTCAGCATTAAATTCTGATTTACCTCATGATTTGCCCACTCTACACATTATGTGCAGTGACCCCTGCCAGAGAAATGCCCTCACCAATATGGCATATTCGTGCAAATAGCCCAACAAATATACACCCATGCCACAGCCACTGTTTTCAGATTTCTGCAAGTCTTTGTGGCACCTAAAAAAGGGTGCTCATGAATCCACTTTCTCAGATATATATTTTGAGTAGCTTATTTTTTTCTCATGTTGTGTTAGCAACATGGACAAATTATATCTGTAGGCATTTTCAAGACTTCTGTTAGTGCCAATGTCTGATTGATTAGCCAGCAAATGGAAGCCTCACCAATTATCTATTTTCAGTCAAGACAATGGAGTTGGAAAGATGCCAAAACTTCCTCACAGCAGGGACCCTGCAAACATTTGTTAAGGCCAACAATCATTCTAGGCTTTCCTAGGCCAGAATCTGAAGTTCCAAAACATTGCTGGCAATTCTCCCATGATATGGACTTCTCTGAGCTTAACTTGTGTTTGGGATAATTGGAAGTTTCTTTGAACAAGAATACCTGCACATACAATAAAATGGTTATTATCCCTCCAAAAATCTCTCTGCTTCTCCATGCTGCTTTAAATTTCTCCATAAAATCTACTACTTTGGCTAAGCCTATTCTCAGATTTCTTTATTTGGCTGAATGTAGAAATTTGCCTGATAATACTGCTGTTTAGTTCCTTGGGATTTTTTTCACTGTTACCTGTACTTTATAAATTGAACTGAAATACTGCTTTGGTTACATCATTCAGTTGATACTGTTGCTTACGTCACCATCACACAAACTCTAAAGCTATGCTCATTTGGTCTTTTGCAGGTCGTGTCGGCCAAGCAGTTGCTGTTCGAGCCAAAATCTTTGGGTTTAATATAATATTTTATGATCCATACTTGCCTGATGGTATTGAGCGATCTCTAGGCGTACAGAGAGTTTATACCCTGCAAGATTTGCTGTACCAGAGTGACTGTGTGTCATTGCACTGCAACCTGAATGAACACAACCACCATCTTATTAATGACTTCACCATCAAACAGGTAATACTACTTTTATCCTGGCTGTAGGCTCGCACACACGTTGGAGTTTTCTTAGTTTCTAGTTTTAATTTACAAATGAAAAATAATACAACATCAGGGAGAAGGTAGCTATCCCTATTGCACACATACAACTGTCACAGCTAAAACTAATAGCATTGATATCTCTTGCCCCCCCTGTGGTCATTTCCTCCAATTAAAAGCTGAAAAATTAGCGTAATCCAGTCCATTGCAGAGGGGAATATTTGTGCCAGTGTTTTACATTTACTCTGTTCCATAGTTCTTGATATTAAAAAGAGACTCGCTTTTATGTAGTGTTTTTCATAACCAGACTTCTCAAAGTACTGTACATCTAATGAAGTACTTCTGAATGTAGTCAGTGTTATGAAAGAAATGTGGCAGCCAATTTGCTGACGGCAAACTCCCACAAAAAGCTAGGTGATAATGAGGGGACAGTCTGTTTTTTGTGATGTTGAATGAGGGATAATTATTGGTCAGGACATCAGGGAGAACTCGCCTGCACTACTTCAATGTGATAGAGAATGAAATGGCAAAAACTTGCCATGTGGCAATCTTATAGTCTTGGTTAGATCATTGTTGATGCCGCAGGGCAAGAAGGAAGATCAGCAGATCAAATTTCTTTGCTGTGTCCTGTGACCTTGTCTTGGCAACAAGTTTGAAATCAACATTCTAAGAGGATTAAGGAAGAGTCACATATTTACATCTTCATAGCAGACAATGGGATTGAGTCCAATGGAGAGAAAGTATCTTGTAAATAATAAAGAGGAGAATAACAATTATTTACAATGTGTTTGAAGATGTTGACGTGTCAGTTTTCATTTTTTGCAATTTCTCTTTCCTTTGTTTTATTTGCTTTTTAATTTAACAAATTTTCTTAATGAATGCCATATTTTAATGGAAAAATATCAAATAACGAGTGTATTTATTCTGACAATATAAAAACATAAGAAATATGAGCAGGAGGAAGCCATTTAGTATCTCAAGGCTGATCCACCATTCAGTAAGATCATAGGTGATCTGATCGGGGCCTTTAACCCCATTTTCACATCTGCTCCCTCATAACCTTTGACTCCCTTGTAGATGGAGAATATGATAAAGTCAATTTTAAATATATTGCATGACCCAGCCTTCACAGCTCTTTGGGTAGATAATTGCAATGGTTAACAACGCTTGGAGAGAGGAAATTTCTTATTATTTCTGTTTTAAATGAGAGACCTCTTTTATTTTGAAACTGCAATCCCAAGTTCAAAATGCCTCCAAAACTAGAAAAACCTCTGTCTAATCTATCAAGCTCCCTCAGAATCCTGTAGATTTCAACAAAATAACTTCTCATTCTTGTAATCTACCATGAGTATTGGATCAACTTGCTCAAACTTTCCTCCAAAAAAAAACCCCTTCATCTCAGGAATCAATCTATTGAAAGTTCTAAACTATTTCCAATGTAAGTATATCCCCTCCTCAAATATGAGACCAAAAATGTATGCTTAAAGAATAAAATTTGTGATATTTTTAAAAATTGCATTGCTATGGGCTTGTTTCTTCCAAAAAAGAGGTGTTTCTGGGACAGTGAACAGAATGCAGATAGTATCTGTATTCCACTAATTGAGTTGCAATAATCTATAAATTGAAATTGCCAACTTGGTGATTACTGGTTTAGCTGTTGCTGCCTGAGTTCTGCCAGAACCATACCACCGGGGCTATGTTATTCACAAAAAGGTATTTTGTTCCCTGTGTTCTATTCACACTTAACGCATAATTAGGATATTTTGCATCTAGTGACTTTTTTTGCCTTTTGTTATCCTTTTCTTTCAGATGATATTGACTTCTGCAATGTGTACATTAATTCCCAAATGGCATTTGGTAATGTGCCACCCCCCACCAACTCTTAGAGGCAGAGTCTGGTCCTATCTGCAAATCTCTTTTTTAGCAAGAACAAAGATGCTCCATCCCAACAACTTCCTTTTCTTCCTTCTGGCCCCAGCACCAGTGAACACCCATTGCTGTGTCATGGAACCATAGCTGTCAATCCACTGAATTAGTTTAAATTCTCAGAGCTGACTTCTTTTTGAGTTACATTTTTAACCAGTTTTACAGTGGGTTTGGTAGAAACTATTGTTGTAAATCAAATTTATTTTCATAACACATTTTTGGTTGTACGGAAAGATCTGGACCATACCAGACTGAATCTGGAATTTCGCTCAAAAATGACTGCAGAGTTGCAATGTTCAGAGAGATGTGGCAGTGTCTGTATTTTAAACCAGCTGAGGTCGAGTAGGTTGTTCCACACTGAAGGGCCTCTCTTGTAATGATTCCATTACACAGTGTGTGCAATTATTTTAGCCTAACTCTTTATTATTGTGTGTAAAGTTGAAGCATAAATAAAGCCTCGCAGTAGATGTTACAGAATTTCTACTGACCACAGATGTCCAAAACATTTTTTTCCCCTGTGAATTTGGTTTGTTTTATATGAAACTGCAATTTGTTTGACTTGTTTATTTTAAAGTTGTCAAGGAATTGTCATGACATTTCTGAATATCTTCTGTGGGGTATTGCATTTTGCCCTGACTGACTCCAGAAATGATGTGAAGGTAATAGAGTAAGAACAAAACTCTTCTTTCTTCTTCTTGTTTGGTCCATAGATGAGACAGGGAGCATTTTTGGTAAACACAGCCCGAGGCGGATTGGTTGATGAGAAGGCTTTAGCTCAAGGGCTGAAAGAGGGAAGGATACGAGGTGCTGCTCTCGACGTTCACGAGAGTGAACCTTTCAGGTAAGATACAACCACAGGTCAACAAGCTCCAGACCTTATATGGAAGGTGCAGTATGACAACGCGTATAGTGAAATGCCATTATAATCCTCAGAAGCCCAACATTACATTGATATTCTGTGAAATGGTTGTCAAATAGCACCATGGTGGCAACAGACAAAGTTTGCACAAACACAAGTAATCTGTATTTTAATATTTTAGAAGCTGTAGCAAACCAATGAATTATGATGTGGCCAGTGAATCAGTTGAAGTGTCACAAAAAAAAACCTTTGGTGTTTCGCTGTTGTGAATTTGTAATGTGACTTAGTTAAATAACAGAGGAATCTGGGTGTCATTAATTTGAATCACAAAGTTAAGATGCAAGTACTGCAAGTAATTAGGAAGGCCCATGGACTATTGACAAGAGGGACGGAATGCACAAGTAGGGAGGTCATACTATAGCTGTACAGGGCATTGGTGAGACTTTACCTGAAATATAATTTTAGTCTCCTTACTTATGGGGAAATACCTGCACTGAAAATAGCTCCGAGAAGGTCCTCCAGGCTGATTCCTGAAATGTAAACATTTTTTCATCAAGAAAAGCTGAGCAGATTGGGCTCATCCTCATTGGCATTGAGAAGAATGGTGGTGATCTTTTGAAACTTAGAACATTCTGAGGGAACTTGGCAAGGTAAGTGCTGAGAGGTTGGGCAACTTTAGAACTTGGGAGCACTGTTTCAAATGTCTCCCATTTAAGCTGGAAATGAGAAATAGACAATCCTTACCTAAAAAGTGGGGAGAATGTGGAACTCAAGCACAAGAGTGGTTGAATCTAACAGTGGGAAGCCAGACAAGCAATAATTTGTATATTCCCTCTTGTTGCAGTTTTACCTTTGGAAGTCAGTATACTGATGTGTTCATCATCACTCTCATTTTAAACAGTATTGAGGGAAAATAAATTTTAAATTAGCTCAACAAAACAAAGGAATACTGAAGAGTGCTAATTGCTTGCAATTATTTCTTTTTAAAGGGACTGCAGATATCAGACTCTTTCCCAATACGTTATCTTGCACCTAGTAGTTAGGATTTTTATTTTGCCAATGGAGTATGGGAGATTTGTTTATAATGAATTAACTAAACACTATATTCATAGATTGTAAGCTGAAGGATTGCATTATAATATGTGTGTATATATCGTTGCGTAATACAAGTAACTATAAACACAGACACACAATCTTTGGTATTTGTGCATTCTTTCCCATCTGAAGAAGGTGACCCAGATACAAAAGGTAATGTTACTATGCAGCCGCATCACTGAACAAATGAGTTAGTGAGATTGGAGAAGAGAGCCCCAAATTCCAAAGATAGCCTAAGAAAATCAAACTGTATCCCTCCAGAAAATCTCAGAAAAGAGTCCTTGAAAACAACAATGTTTTGAAGCTTCCGCACAGGAAAAGTAAAAGCTGCCACCCAGAAAGGAGGGGTAGCAGTTCTGATCTGAAATTGAAGAAGTCTGGTGAGTCATGAAGGCTGTGAAATTCTTGGTGGAAAAATGAGGTGCTGCTCCTTGAGATTCTCTTCAGTGTCATTAGAATAGTGCAAGATGCCAAGGACACAGCCCCCACATAGCAGTGGGCAGAAAATTCAGATGGCAGGTGGATGCCAAGATGCACCACCAGTGGCATAATATGCTGTCAACCCATGACCCTTGATGCTCCACGAGGATCCAGTTTAGAGATCATCAGACTGGCCTTGAACAAAATATGTCATTCGACACATTTAAGGCACAGAACAAGAAACTGATTACTGTCATTTCATAGCGATATATTTTTTTAATTGTTTGTCTTTTAGAAACCTTATTTCTAATACTAGGCTCTCAACTTCTAAGAAAACAACATAGCACTTAATTCTCTCTGAAAAAGTATTCACATGATTGCGTGATTTTCTGGGTCTTTTGTTGATAGTTATTTTTTGACTACTGATTCATGCTTAGGAAGGTTCATTGCTGTTTCTTGGTTGCGGTACTCTACACCCCTCTATTTGGAATTTATTGCTGTTTCATGAAAGTAAAATCTGATCTAATGATGTGAAAATGTTGTGTATTCTTTCAAAATGATATTTGAGATGTATTAACTGCAAACTACTTTTTGTAAATTTCCTCCATGCTTTTCATGGTGAATCATGAAATATGTTCTTTATAAAGATAAGAACAAGACATTAAATATTCCAAAAGTAATAGTCTTTTATAAGACTGAAGACATCTATACTTTCAAACATACATGTCTTAGTTACTGGCTCTGATATTTGAATTGTGAGTGGGGGCTGGAATAGGACTTGAACAAGGAACGCTCCACATACCCCATGAAGAGACAGGCATAACTGGGGCCCATGTGGGTACCCATGGCCACCGCTCTGACCTGAAGAAAATGAGATGAGTTGAAAAAGAAGTTGTTGAGGGTAAGGATGAGCTCGGCCAAGTGGAGGAGGGTGGTGGCTGGTGGGGGTGGTTCAGGTCTTTGCTCCAGGAAGAACCGAAGAGCTCTGAGACCCTCCTGGTGGGGGATGGATGTGTACAGAGATTGCACGTCCATGGTAAAGTGGAGGCAACTGGAGCCTGCAAACTGGAAATTTTGAAACCGGTGTAAAGCATCAGAGGAATCAAGAATGTACATGGACAGGGATTGGACCAGGGGAGAGAAGACTGAGTCAAGGTAGGAAGAGATGGGTTCTGTGGGGCAGGAGCAGGCTGAAGCAATAGGTCTGTCCAGGCAGTCCTGTTTGTGGATTTTTGGAAGGAGGTCGAAGCGAGCTGTGTGAGGCAATGGTGGCGGGGGTTAGGGGTGTGGTCACCAGATGAAATGAGGTCAGTGATTCTAGTTGATACAATGGCCTGATGTGCCATGGTGGGTCATGGCCCAGGGGAAGGTAGGAGGAGGCATCTGAAAGCTGCTCTGAGCCTCTGTAATGTCGAGGTCAGTACGCCAGACTACAACAGCCCCACCCTTACGAGCAGGCTTAATAACAAAGTCAGGGTTGGATCTAAGTGCACAAAGTGCAGTCAGTTCGGAGGGAGATAGGTTGGATTTGGTGAGAGGGGCAGAGAAATTGAGGTGACCAATATCACGTCGATAGTTCTCAATGAACAGATCAAGTGCAGGTAAAAGGTCAGAGGGAGGGGTCCAGGTAGAGGGAGAGTATTGGAGCTGCGTAAAGGGGTCTGTGCAATGAGGAGAGGACTCTTGCCCAAACAAATGGGCACAGAGGTGAAGACAGGGAAAGAAGAGTTCAACACCATGTCTTGCCCAAAATTCATTAAAGTGGGGGCACAGAGGGATAAAGCTGAGGCCTTTGCTGAGTACAGAACATTCAGCATCGGAGAGCGGAAGGTTAGGAGGGATGGTGAGTACCTGACAGGAGTTGGGATTAGGGGAGGGGATGGAGTCTGAGAGAAGGGGAGGAGAGGAAGGTTCCAGAGGGCCCTGGGTATCTCTGAGTTGTTGCATCTTGTGGGCCTTGATATCTGAAAGGAAATGAAAAGGTTTCTTGTTAGCACGACGTATGAGCTGGAGCATGAAGTGGAACTGCAGAGTGGTGCAACCCTGAGCCAGTGTGTTGCGAAGCTGTTGGAGAGAAAGGCTGAGAGTGTGCATGTAGTGCTGCATGGCACTGAGTGTGGATCTCAGGATGCAGCGAGAGCAGCTGTCTGTGGAATGTTGAACATCACGGAGATATCTGTGATCCTGGGAGGATTCAAAACACGAGGGATAAAACGTCAGTTAGAATCCACATGGGGTGAGTCTGAGCCGGAGGCAGTCACTGAGGAATGTGATACGGCTGTGGAAACGAGTTTTAGCAAATACCTGGTCAAACACCAGGAGTGACAGTGAAATGAATGTTGGTGGGCAAGAAGAAAGATCGTAATGGAAATCCCGTCAGAGAGAGGAGCAGAACTTATTCAAGGTGGGCATGCCTAGAAGAGATGTGATAATGAGTTAAATACTAAATAAAAACCGAAAGAACTGTGGATGTTGTAAATCAGGAACAAAAACAGAAGTTGCTGGAAAAGCTCAGCACGTCTGGCAGCATCCCCCACCTCTGACCTCACCCCTTCGCTTCCCTCCTGCAACAACGATAGGGTTCCCCTTGTCCTTACCTACCATCCCACCAGCATCCACATCCATAAGATCATCAGACGCCATTTCCGCCACCTTCAGTGAGATGCCACCACTAGACACGTATTCCTGTCCCCTCCCTTGTCCACCTTTCGCAGGGACCGTTCCCTCTGGGACACCCTAGTCCATACTTCCTTCACCCCCAACACCCCCCCCCCCCCCCACAGCCCCACGGCACCTTCCCCTGTAACCAGCGAAGGTGCAACACCTGCCCATTTATTTCCTCCGTCCCCAGTATCCAAGGGCCCAAACGTACCTTCCAGGTGAAGCAACACTTCACCTGCACTTCCCAGAATCTAGTCTACTGCATTCGCTGCACACAATGCAGTCTCCTCTACATTGGGGAAATGAGGAGTAGAATGGGTGACTGCTTCACAGATCATCCACGTTCCGCTCGCAAAAAAGATCCTGAGCTTCGAGTGGCCTGCCACTTTAACGCACCACCCTGTTCCCTGGCCTACATCTCTGTCTCTGGCTTGCTGCAGTGTTCCAGCAAAGCCCAACACAAGCTGGAAAAACAACACCTCATTTTCCGCTTGGGGACCCTATAGCCCTCTGGACTTAATATCGAGTTCAATAAACTCTCCCATGTCCTAGACCCCTGCCCCACACACCAGGCCTTGTTACCACATAGCCTGCCATTACACACTGCCTATTGTTAGTCACTTACAGTCCCCATTAATAGCTATTTACCTTCCCAGCCAGATTGTTATCAACTCCTTTGTCTATCCAACTGCTCTTCTCTTTCTTCGGGCTCTTTGCTTTATCCTATCGTTTACTCCCTACCCCGTTCCCCTCCCTATTTTCTGCATATTAACCAATGATTCACAGCTTCCATCAGTTCTGAGGAA